AGACAGTAACTGAAGGTTCTCCCTTTATTAGCTATAATAGCTCAAGCCTGGTGAAAAGAAGCCTGCATAAATGAATGAGACCACTGGAAGCTGATGTTTTAATGTCAAGCTGGCATGAAGACCCTGAATTATTACTAGATTCAGTAGGGTATAGGCTCCAAAAGAGAATTCAGGACAAGACATATAATTTTAATAAAATAGGAATACAAAGACTATACATATGAAAACTTTAGTGTAGTGCCTAAGGCACATGACTGCTAACCAGAAGGTTGGCGGTTCAAACCCACCAGCCACTCCTCGGAAGGAAGGTTGGGCAATCTACTTCCATAGTGATACTGCCTCGGGAACCCAAGGAGGGGTTGTCCGACTCGACGGCAAATAACAATGACAATGTAAAATATATTTGACACTAACAAATTGCTTTAAAAAGACCGTCCAGAACTAGAGTAATAAGATTACACTAAAAGTTACACACTAAGCAAATTTTTATATTTTAAAGGGTAAGAAGCAAACTCAATTTCATTCACATTTCAGATCAATTAAGCACAGTGCCTAAGACATCTGATTGCTAACCAGAAGGTTGGTGGTTCAAATCCACCAGCCAATCCACAGAAACAAGACTGGGAAATCTACTTCTGTAAAGATTTACCTCCTGGGAAATCCAATGGGGGTCACTATGAGTTGGAATTGACTAGAAGGTAGTGAGGTTTTTTTTTTTTTTTTCAGATAAGTTGTTCAGGCAATGCAAAACATTGTTATGTTGTAGCAATACCATCTAGTATTTTAGAGGTAAAAATAACTACAAAACAGATGAACAAAAGATATAGGGAAGAAACATTTGCAAGCATTCTTTCTGTGTCAATGATTCTTATGTTTTTTTTTTTTAATCTCATTTAATTCTCAAAAGAAATTTATTCACTTTCATCCTTTAAAGAAGTTAAATAACTTGCCTGAAGCTTCCCTGAAAGAAAAGATTTAGGATTCTACTCAAAGTCTACCCAGTTGCAACCATGACATTGCCCCTACTCATCACCCAGTTGGAGGCTGAATACACAGTCTCTTAATATTTGAAATAAATGTTATGATCTCCTGTATTATTTATGAAATGTACAGTTGATGCTTGGGTCTTAGATACATTGCTAGTTTCACTTACTGAGATAACAATCATTAAAAGGAAAATAATATTCAGATGCAGATAAAAATTCTACTCAAATTTTACTAATAGTAGCCTTCAACCCATCAATTTCTATTCTAAGATGTATCTTACTCATCATCTCTGTTCTCAAGTACATGACATACTGAGTCATCAACCCAGTTATGGCTTTCATATGCATGTATTTATGATACTCGATTTCCTGTTAAGTGGGTAAGATAAAAGTTTTCCTAAAGTAACTAGGATAATGTGATAAAAGACAAATGAATAAATTAAGTGGTATCTGCTACAAATAACTCAAAAAACAAAAATCAAAGCAAAAGAAAACAATAGCTATAACCAAAAAAGACTTCTTATTTCCTCTTGAAATGAATTCCCATCTGCTTTTAAATGGCAACATGTTTTTCCATTCACTGGGAATCACAGCCAGAAGCCAAAGACAATGAGACCCACGGTCACGGGGGAGTGGCGGGAGACAGAGTGCTGAAGGATGTGCTGCTTGCTTCAGCCTCTCCTTTGAGGCTGCTCCCTAGTGACTGTGTTCTCCTTCCAGCTGGCGACACACTTCCTCCTGGGACCCTCTTGAGAATTAAAAAATGCTTCAATTCTCTGTATACCCTCTCCAGAGAGGGAAGATGGACTAACTCAGAGAGGGTAGAAGGAGTAATTTCAAACACTGGGTCTGTGTAAGCTTTCCTGGAACAATGTTGATTGGGCAAAATAAAGTGCTAGGTAAAGAGAAAAAACATTTTAAAAGTACTTCCCCTTCTCCTTCTCAGTCATCTTTTACAACTTCTTAATTAAAAATAAATATAAAAAATGCTTACCATTGTTAAACATTTTATGTTTCTAAAAAATAGAGAGCCAGAGATTGCCTCATCTTTGGCTCACATGGCCAAATTCTTGTTCATATACCTAACTAACCATGTACAGTTAAATAAAATTAATTTGACATAATTTTCAATATACTACTCTCCTGTGACAATTCATTGATCAATATTTTCATTTTTATACCAAAAGTGGCTAGAGAAACACTCCAACTCTGAGAGATGGGCCTGCAGCAGGGTACAGCGCCATAAGATTAGAGGATGTTTTTGTGACAAATGAGAACTAAATCAATTTTTCTATCCCCTGCCCCAGTTTGACAAGTGTTTGCTAAACATGTACTATGCAATAGGTTCTGTACTAGAGGATATGGCCTCAGGCGGAGGAAGAAATAAATTAGTTACATTTGTGATAAAACACTGAGCCTGGTAGAAGTCAGGCACTGAGGTCCTGTCTTACTATCCAAAAAAAAAAAAAAAAAAAATCACACTTAATTTTGGTTTCCGAACACTGTAACACCATTTCTGCTCTGTCACAAAGAGGGAAAGACAGGGGACAGAGATGGTATCTTATATTTTATCTGAAGCTAAGCTTTACCTATCCTAAATTTCATATTCATTAATTTTTAACAAATTTTATATTGATAATGTTGTTGTTAGCAGCTGTTGAGTTGGTCCCCAACTCATGGTGAGCCCACTCACAATGGAACGGCACGCTGACCAGTTCTGCACTATCCCCGTGACTGGCTGCAGATCAGGTTACTGTGATCCATAGGGTTTTCACTGGCTGATTTTTGGAAATATATTGCCAGGCCTTTCTTCCTAGTACATCTTAGTCTGGAAGCTCTGCTGCAACCTGTTCAGCATCACAGCAACACATGAGCTGCTACTGGCAGATGGCTGGTGGCTGCATATGAGGTGCACTGGCTTGGAAACGAACCTAGGTTTCCTGTACAGATGGCAAAAAACCTATCACAGAATCACCCTTGCCCTGATTTAATGATAATTTTTCTCCTTAAACAGTAAGGTACTCATGTGAATTGCCTAAATATCCAGAAATAAAAAACATTTTAAAAAACCTGTTTCAGGTTTTAAAAGGCTAGAGCTACTAAGATGAAGCCTCTGGAATAAAATTACTATGAAGTTGTAACAATACTTTGATTATGAATAAGACCACAGTGCGGTATCCCTTCTGCACTCAAGCAACTGGGACACAAAAATATAATTGGAGGAGAGACAGAATTTAATGCTACTCTTCCTTTAGCTATTTTTATAAGATTTAATGTAAGAATTAATCAGAAATGTGCTTACATTTTATACCGAGTAAAGCATGTACTACGTAAGAATTAGCAAAAAAAAAAAAAAACAAACCCAAACTCACAGCTCTTGAGTTGGATCTGACTCATAGCAACCCCTCCTTGGGTTTCCGAGGCAGTATTGCTGCGGAAGCAGATTCCCCAACCTTCCTTCTGAGGACTGGCTGGTGGGTTTGAACTGTGAGCCTTCTAGTTAGCAGTCAAATGCCTTAGGCACTTTGCTACTAGATCTCCCAAGAATTAGCAAGCTGGTACAATAATTCCTGGCACCACATTAGTCCTTCTCTTCAGACAAACAAAACTTCATTAACTTCTATTTTTGTTTAGTATTTCTATGTTACTTCTATGAATTACTTCAAAGTGAGAAAGGCACATTTATACTATGCTAATTGTTCTTCTACTTATATGTGATGCTGGCACTTGCTCTCGAAACAAAATACATTCTAGAAATGCTTGAGCAGGTTATTAACATTAACAGAAGTATTTAACTTCATGATGGTTATGCCAAGAAGATGCTTGTAAAGATTATTGTTTCAGACAAGCCCTAAAAATGAATGCACTGCATCTCAAGCTACTTTGTTATGGCTTTTTTTCCAGTGGTACTGAAACACACAAAAGAGGAAATATCAAATATCTATACTCCTTAAGATAAAGCTATGAGTAGTTCTGGTATTTATTTTCGTTGCTATTAGCTACAAATGCATTATATACTAAGTCCAATTTCACATGTAAACTTGCCTATAGTAGTCTCCAAGTACTACTAATAATGTGTTATATGTTAAGCTCTTTGGATTTTACAGAAAACAGCAAAAACTAATAGCAAGGAAAATAAGATGTGGAGTCCCAGTCTCCTGGATGATTCAGAACAAAAAGAGTCTATAACTTCTTAGTTAAAAAAATACTAATTTCCTGGTACAAATCCATGTCAGTGGTATTCAGGAGATATTTCTGTGTCAAGGAATACAGTTTGTCCTGACATGTGGAAAAATTACAGAATTATTTTAATGAAATTTTAATTTGTAAATAAAATCAACCTAAGTAAAGAGTTGCTAAGGAATGGAAAAATGCTTATCTGTCACAATTAAAGTGGTCTTCATATTTTTATGAAGGTCTTTCCTATTCCTAGTAAAAGTATATTTTCACAGTTAAGGGCAGAATGCATGTCACTTTCACTACGTTTATGAGAGAATCTTTGTTGATATACAAATAGATTTCTCTGAGAAAATTTTCCCAAATGATAAAAGATGATAATAATACAATCCCATTGTCTAGCCCTTTGTATTTCCAAGTACTTTGATGATATCCTAATTTCATTTTTATGATATCCATGAGGCTACAGTAGAAGGGTTGTACTATCATCTACATTTGACAGGTAAAGAAATGAAAGTTCAGAAAAGTATGTGACTGGCTGAAAACTGTGGTATGAAGAAGTCCAACACAGAATCTTCTGAGTTCTAGTTCTTCTTTCCAGTATATTCTACTCTGAAGACCACATTTTGAAAAATAATAGATGCCATATAAGAAACAACTGAGATATAACACAGGCCAGGTAGAATGCAATTTAATTTAGTGATTATCTGTCATGTGTGGCATTTCCTATTTTAAGATTTCATTTAAAACAGTTTGCAGCAAATAGTCTTTTCTTGCTAATGGACCCAAGCTATTGTTTCCCTTCTACCAACGTATTTTGAGAGGGAAATACTTTACCTCTGCTCCTGAGTATGTATCTGTTTGGAGAATGAGTTCATCCAGGTCAACCTCATCACTGATTGGCATAGAGCGAAATTGCAGACTAAATATTTCCCTTCTTGTTGCTCCATCTGGTAAAGGCACATAGATGATTCTATCAATTCTTCCAGGCCGCATCAAAGCCTATAAAGAAGATGGGGCAACATGGATTAATCAAGCTCAGAACTGACATTCCACATCAGGCACCAAAGGAAAAGGGATGTCTAGAATCTCATGAACAACCTCTTATTATCTTTAATTAGTAAATATAACAAGTACTAGAGATTTGATGAACTATTTCAAATATTTCAACAAAGAGACAATGTTCAGAGTACTTTTGAAAACAGAAAAGAAGCACTTCTGGTAGGCTTTCAGCCCTTTAGCAAGTATCAGGTCAGCAGATGACTATTCTCTTTTAGGGAAATGTGTACATGACTCATACTTATTATATCAAATTAAATTGTTGCAATAAAAGCAGAACTTTCAACATAATCTACTATAATTCCATTCTTGTATTCCTTTATCACTTAATGGCTGCTTGTCCAACCACAATCATTAATAACTTATATAGATTGAGCAGATGTAGCTTACATAACAACTGTTAGTAAGATCAGACGATACAAATTTTATATATATACACACACACACACACACATACATATATGTGTGTGTGCTGTGTATATGTGTATATATATGTATATATACACACATACACAACACACATATATATTTATAAACCCACTGCCATCGAGTTGAATCCGACTCACAACGACCCCTCCTTGGGTTTCCGAGGCAGTATCACTGTGGAAGTAGATTGCCCAACCTTCCTTCTGAGGAGTGGCTGGTGGGTTTGAACCACCAGCCTTCCGGTTAGCAGTCAAATGCCATAGGCACTACGCCACCAGATACATACACACACACACACACACACACACGTATGTTTTTATACATTATGCAGCAAAAGGAGCTCTGGTGGCATAGTGGTTAAAGCACCGAGCTTTAGCAGTTCAAACCCACCAGGCACTCCATGGGAGAAAGTGAGGCGGGCTGTTTCCATAAAAATTTATAGCCTTGGAAACCCTATGGAGCAGTTCTACTCTGTCTTATGGGGTCCTTAGGAATCTGAGTCGACTCGATGGCAGTGGATTTGGTTTCAGAAGCAGTAAAAAATTACAAGATTAAACTCCTCGGAAGGAAGGTTGGGCAATCCTACTTCCGTAGTGATACTGCCTCGGAAACCCAAGGAGGGGTCGCTATGAGTCGGGGCCGACTCGACAGCACACAACAACAACAACAACAACAAACTAAAAAATTAATTTATAGAAATACATTAAAAGCATAAAAGATAAAGCAAGAACTTTGGGAGTAAAATTAATAAAAGGCATGCATAAGCTTGTTACTGAAAATTACATAATACTGTTAAGAGACATTTAAGATGATCTTTATAAACAGATATACCATTTTAATAAGGACCTCTAGTGGCATAGTGGGTAAGACATTTGGCCACTAACCGGAAGGTCAGCAATTCAAACCCATAGGAGGAAGATGAGGCAAACTACTTCCGTAAGGATTTACAGCCTTGGAAACCCAGTTGGGTTTGCTAAGTGTCAGAATCAAAAATTGTTTTAGTTTCTGGTGATACAGCTGTGAATAGCTTTCCTATTTTTTTTTTAAGTTGAAGTTATCCTTTTCACCCTTCTGGGAAAATTCAAATTCCAGGCTATTTTAAAATTTCCGTTCTAATAGTTGAAAGAACATCACAGCAAAGGATATAGAGTACACACGCCATCTAAGCCACTGAAACAATGCTCAGCATGCAGCCTGTGTTTTTCTTTTTTAAATTGTTGCTGTCCCCGGGCAGTGCAGGTTGAGTACACTTCAATGATTATAACATTGTCCAGGCCAACAGCCAGCTAGGCTTTTCCTGGCCTGATCTTGTCAGTGAAAGTTATACTTAAAAAATAGTAGGAAAGAGCCTTCCTTCCTGTAGAACCCTGAACGTGTTAACACCCTTCCTAGAATATTTTTTAAAATACTGTTCTGGTATATTAGGGTGGAAGAATGTTTTCTGAATGATGGAATGTTCTGTTACTTTAAAATCATCACATGACAACTCTCAATGAAAAAACTATCTGAGGTTTTCTAACTTTTTGAACTCCAAGGTCATAGATATCGCAGCTCTACATTAAAACTCTATTTTTAAAAAATCATAGGGCAAACTGCCTTTTGGAGAACTTATTCAAGACCTTGGGCAAATCTGTATACTTACTTCTAAGAGCCTCAGTTTCTTCACATGTGAAAATTTAAGGTGGTTCTTTAATCAGAGGTCTTTTTGCATCTGATAAGCATTTTCCTCATAATACACAGACGCAAAGACATGCTCACATAATTTTGCAAACAATTCCAGGTCTGCAGAAATCTGCTTGTGTATCCCAGACTAAGAATTACCATATTAGATAATTTTTTAATTGGGTCGTCTAGCCTCTTGAATTGTAGGACTACAGATAATATTTTCTGCCATTCTTACCCATGGAAATGCCCACAGTTCAGCATTACATGATCATTATTAAAGATGTGACTTTTTTTTTACAAAACCAATACTGTTCTCATCTTCTGACATTTACATAAATGATACAAAATCACTCCTGGTACTTTACATGAAGGAGCCTTACTTATCTAACTGTATACCATATTTACAGGGATGCCTTTTCTTTTTTTTCCATAAGTTCTTAAATTTAACACTTGCAGTTTCACAGTCTATCAAAGCTGGTTTAATTAGCACAGAAATACTTGTTCAGATCAAAGTATTAAAATCAGAACCCATGACTACCATTCACTTAAAATGAACAACAAAGATGTATCTATGTGAGAGTGTCTTTCTCTAGGAAAGAAAAGCAGCACCAAGTTTTTACACTTTACACTAATAAAAACATATCAATGAATCACGATTCAAGGAGAAAATGCTCCCAGAGATTGGAGAAAGGTAGATCCTTGGTAACAGCTTTGATTTATTTCAAAGAAACGTTGGGTTTATTCTAGGCATCTCTCTCTCTCTCTCTCTTCTCCTTCTAAATCCAACTAATTAATAGGTATGGTTAATGCTTCCTCTTAAATCTGTCACTTCTACTCAATCTTCCTTATAACTTATTTCTGTTTATTGCCTGTCTTCCATATCAGATTGTAGGCTGTATGTAATGGCAGGAATCATATTCACTGTATTCAACATTATAAACTCAGCAATGTCATATAAAAAACACCTATAAATGTTTACTCAACAAAGTCAAGCCAACATAATCTCCTTAGAATATCACAACTGCCTTGCTAGTTTTTTTTTCCCCCTCTAGCCTTACTCTTTCCTTCTTTGCTGTCCCGTTTATCTATGTCAATGCTAAATGGATCATTATAATTGCAAATACTGTAAATTCCTATTTTTAAACACTTTAATGGCACCTCAAGGGGATAAAGTCCAAATTCCAGCATAGTATTTCAGGCCTCTGTGACTTTGGTATATAACTCTTTTGTCTTATCTAAACCAAAAAAACCCAAACTCACTGCTGTCCAATAGCGACCCATCCTTGGGTTTCCGAGGGAGTATCACTACGGAAGTAGACTGCCCAACCTGCCTTCCGAGGAATGGCTGGTGGGTTTGAACCTCTAGCCTTCTAGTTAGCAGTCAAATGCCTTAGGCACTATGCCACGAGAGCTCCCTTTGCCCTATCTACAGTTCCTTTTTTTCTAAAGCACCATGTTGCTTTTTGCTTCCTTGCCCTTACACATACTTCTCTTTCTGCTCAGAATGGTATTTTCTCTTGTTGTTGTGTTTTTCCCCTATCTTTTCATCAAGGAGCCCTGGTGGCGTACTGGTTAAGGCATTCAGCTGCTAACCAAAACACTGGCAGTTCGAACCCACCAGCCATGCTCTGAGGGAGAATGATAAGGCAGTCTGCTTCTGGAAAGATTTCCTTGGAAATGCTAGGACAGACGGAAACCCAAGGAGGGGTCGCTATGAGTTGGCTCCAACTCGATGACACATAACAACAACAACAAAAACTCTGTCCGAAAGAGTCACTGAGAGTTGGTATCAACTCCGTAATAGTGGATCTTTTCATCAGGCAAGTTCTTCTTGTGCAAGATTCAGATTAAATTCTTCTCTATGACTCTTCTGGGTATATACCTAGACTATATTTGTAATATGGAATACAGATGAAAAGTAGGGGCAAAGAAATCACCTGGTTGAGAAGGTTTGAAAGCAACAAGAGCAAACACTATGTGCAAAGACATGAAGGTGTGGTTGAGAATAAACTATTCCTGGTAAGGCAAGAGGCTTACAGTGGTCACAGTAGGGGGCAGACTTTCCAAATGCCCTGGGAATGGATCACAGATGTGCTTAAGATGGTGCTTCCTTCAGCTTTCAGGAGGGCCAAAAGGCCAGAGGTAGCCAGAGACTGCAGGCAGTGAGAAAGCAACTTTATCTAGTAATATGTGCCATGTCTTGAAAAAGTTTGGGAAGAACTGGTGACGTGCGTACGAAAGTAGATGAAATTAAAAAATGCAGGTATGATTATATCACGTGTGGTAGGTAATTTTAAGGAGTTTGGATCTTCATCTTATAAAAAAACAAAACAAAACTCATTGCCCTCAAGTGGGATCTGAATTATAGCAACCTCTCCTTGGGTTTGCGAGGCGATATCACTATGGAAGTATATTGCCCAATCTTTCTTCCGAGGATAGGTTTGAACCGTCAGCCTTCTGGTTAGCAGTCAAATGCCTTAGGCACTATGCCACCAGAGCTTCCTTCATCTTATAGTCCATAGGAAATTATGGAAAGTTTTTAATCAGGTGAAGGATGGGATTGGCTTTTTGTTTAAAAAAGTAAACAACTCTGGCAGCAGTGTGGATGTAGCACAGGAATAAAGGGCAACTTCCAGTTAGGAAGCTAATATAATATCTAGGTCCTGAATTAGAACATGAGTAACAACAGAGGCAATAAACTTGAAATGACGATTTCCAAGATGTCTTTGAAGTAAAACTGCCAAAAGTTTGTGGCTTATTATTAGACATTTTTCTCTTTTGAAAATGCCTCTCTATTTTTCAAAAGAAGTAAGCAGAAAAGAGGGTTTCTTTTAAATAGATTTGCATCTGTT